AGACTGGGAAAATAAGACTTTTAAAAGCAATGCTAGAAGTCCCAATTTACCCAAACCCAACCTCTAAAAATACCCTGCTAGCATGTAAATAGATAGTAAGTATCCGTGTGGGAAGAAGGAAACCCTAGTTCCCTGTCACTTCCCTCATTGAAAAAAAATGATCAAACTTGTCATTGAGAAAGAAAATACTTCCTCCTCTTACTTTCACCAAGCTCTCTCCGCTCATATATAAAAAGCCCAAAACTGTTCCATCTGGTTTTAATGAAGCCAGACGAGGCAGCAGTGTAATAAGCATGTTGAGACCTTAATGATATGCCTCCTTTTTTAGTGGAAAGATCTCATGACTAAGATGTTCCACACGTTCTTTCGCTCTCGCCTGTTCCCTCTCGGGTCTCCCGCTAGTGTTGCCCGTGAGGTTCAGAGAGCTCTAGTAGGTGTCGGTGCGTGTTTCACTGCCAGAACGCCACCGAGTTTTCCGTTACCGTCTACTGTTGCTTCTGCATCTCAGATAACCGGGACGACAGTTATTATTCTGTTCAATTTTAACTCCATTCTATTCTACACTGTATATCGTTAATGAGAAACTTTATAGACCTTTCGCTGTTCTCATTCCTTAAAGTGTTACATGCTCCAACTATTTGATTCAAATTACAGCATGTATAGTGTCCGGCTGCGAGGTTAAATGAAAGTTCAACAATAAATTCTGTGTTCGGCATGATTCCTTTCCTTTAATTGCCTTCCCACATACCACTCCTTAATTCCTTAGCTTGCCTAGACGTTGTGTGGACCTACAAAGGTGTGTCTCCAAAATGTGCTAACGTGGCTCAAAATGAGTCAATGCTCACACACACCCATACGGACACACGTACCCTGACACATGAAGCACCTTCATGTTCCTACAGGTCGCGTTCAGCACTCAGCGCTCTGGGAGAAGAAGTGGTTTTGGATGCCTGATTAAATCATGTCAGTGACAGTACTTGTGGTTTGGATTTTATGACTGATTGATTAGTTTAAAGTTTATTTTGTGCTGTTTTTCTGCAGATTAATCTATCATGGAATATAACTTTGCATCCAGTGTGACCCTTTAAATATGTTTCAAATGGTTATTGACAAAAACCCAGAATAATCTTAAACAGCATTCAAGCAATGCCTGTTGTTTTGCCTTTGCTGTTCTAAACACTGCCTGCCTGCTCCTCCTCCTTTGGATAGCAGGAAGTAACGCATCTAATGTTCGCCAATTTGTTAGGATTAGCCACCACAAAGCAGGAAATGTGCAGTCAGGCTGAGAAAACAATGGTGGCGGCGACTGAACGGCCAAAGAAAGAAGCTCCGGCTGCAGTTACAAAAACAACTTTATCAAAGAGGCAAAATATCTTCACAGAGCTGGAGATAAGCTTCAATGAAGTAGTGAGAAATGCTTTGCGACAATGACAACTTAAACACAGATGCTCAGACGTGTGTGTGTCGACTTCTCGGAGCAGCCTGTCATCGCGCACATTCACAAGCGTGCTCAAACACTGAGCTATAAGCTGCTGTATCTCTCTGTAAAGCAGTGATGTTCAGGGTGTGGTCATCCATCGCTGTCTGGAATCCAAATCAGCCCTTCCCAAAACTATCTCATCCCCCATCGCTTCTCTTTTCTTTCTTTTTTCTCGTCACAGTGAGTAACTCCTAATGTGAGATGTCTGAGTAATGCTGTGACTAAGTAATGATTAATCATCAGGTTGTGTGTTGGTGTGTACGCGAGTGTTTGACTGAAAATAATAACTTTTTTTTTAACTTGTATATCTGTTACTTCTGTCACTAGATTGTATATCATTTATTAATGTTCTATTCAGTGCAATATATATTCTTAAAAAGTAATCGGCACAGACTTTTTTTATTACACCTTGAGACTCAGCTTGTGTGTGTGTGTGTGTGTGTGTGTGTGTGTGTGTGTGTGTGTGTGT